ACATTTGTAGTGGCGTTTGAATGCGATGTGGCCTATACAATGACTTGCGGGGGCCAGCCGATGTACAAGTCAGTGTTTTTATCCTCCCAGACAAGTCTGGTACCAATTAACCGACCCCGGAGGGATGGAAGGCTTGGTTGGCCCGGGCGACTCACGACCCAGGATTTGATCCCGGACCGCTCGCGTGGTAAGCGCGCCACTTGTCACTACACCACTTCCGCCTTTGTCAATTGTCACTAAAATTGAGAACCTAGTGCAGAAAAAAGGGCTTGCGATCAGGGTGAATACCGGTCGAGGAAATCCTCGACTATGGACCTGTACTTTGTGAGAGTAGTGTCGAGAGTAAATGTCCGCGCGGGAGAGCGTGCTAAACAGGCAAAACCACCGACGAATCGTCGACCGATTTTCACTGTGCTTGTAATCTTTTCGACTTATTCGCGCTTCTGCAAATCATGATTTATGGGAATTATGTTATAAACATCTTGTTGGGTTGGTTTAACCACTATTCAGGTCGGCTCCTGTGATGTGATCGACGAAGCTATTGCGAGATACCATAAGCTGGCATTTCCTCTCTACGATCCTGTGAGTTCTGCTTCAAGCTTACATTGGATTGCACCAAATTAATCCTAAATTTGTCACTTATTACAACCCATGGCGTAAAACCAGGTGTGACACTGCTTTGAGGGCTATTTTCGGCATTTTCTCGCGCTCAGATCTCATGAGAATAAATCACTGAGTTCGGAGATCAACATAGAGACGTGAGAAAGTGCAATATGGAAAAAAATTCTTAAATTGTTGGTATTTGTTGTAGTAGCTTAGCTCGCACCCCGCTTATTTTCTTGCCAAATCGTGGGCCAAAAAGTGGACAGCCCAGCCTTCAGCCAAGAAATATTCTATTTGGTCCCAAACGCACAGATTCGATCTTCGAGCTGGTATAAATAGTGTGCCAAATAATATCCTTAACAGATGTGAATACTAGATGAAATCTCGGTTATTCCTTTTGAGGCCATAGATAATTTCAGGATACCTACTCAGACTCTCCTCCCACCCTCACAACGTTGACAATTGACGTCAAGGAGGGATGCAATACAAAGTTTCCACAGCTGAACATGGACGAGTCCTGTAAGTTTGATACTTGCTTACTGATTCAGTGCGATGCCATTTTAGCTATCAGTCAAAGCCGAAACTAAAAAGAGCTCCAAGGAGTTTCAGCGACGGAGTTGTGCTTTGGGATGACGGTTGGGTCTGAAGTTATTGGTCCAATTTTGGATAGCTGGCAGAGGCCCGTCGCGCGGCGAGAGGGCAGAGACGCAGACGGAGTCCGAGTCGCAGCGCGTACTGCAGTGATTTCGAGTCAAGTTAAACAGAATGTGCTATAGTACGTCCCACATCACACAGCACGCGCTAAGACTCGTCCGCTGGTGAGTCTGCGTCTCTGCTTTCTCGCCGTGCGACGGGCCTCCTGCCGGATATCCTCTGATATCACGTAATTTTTATTCAAGAAGCCTCGTAGCTTCTTGAATAAAAATTACGTGATATCGTTTTGAAGTAAGGGAATTTCAAAACTTATCTTCCAGATGGTCTCACTGTCGATGAAAGCAAAGATGCTGCAACACTCAGCGCCAATGAAGTGTGGGGTGCACTTAGAGGACTTGAGACGTTCAGTCAGCTCATTTTTCAACCAGTAAGGAACCAGGTAATCTACTCTTCCTAAGGAATTCGGAACAATGTATGAATTTCAGTGACTTTGGTGTTTGCCTGGTTTTTTGAAGGCAAGCCCTGAGATAAAATTGTTGTGTTTAGATCGCTCAATAATGGAAGTGGGAGTGGGAGGGGCTGAAAGTGTGGAAAAGAAACTGAATGAAATCACCAAAATTACGGGTTTGAACCATCGCACTTTCGGTTGCGTTGTACGGAGAAACAGAGCGTCCAGAGAAGAAAGAACGCACGAGAGAGCACGCCGAAAGGGTGGGCACAGATATGCTTCCACTGCATAGCGAATGATTATTATCACACAGCGGTAGGGTGGAACTCGCGTCGAGGAACTGTCGCGTCAGTACGATCCCCCTCAACGAGTGTTTCAATATGACCCTCTTCTACATCTGCAACATCCTTACTCGGACTGAAAAACAATAGTTCTAGCTGCATAGGAAGAAGTAGCACCAAGCAGCGCTTCTGCCATGCGGGTACTCCATAGTTCAAATCCTAAAGCAGCTCTAAGCTTTACCTTCTATGTTTTGTTTATTCTATCTTGCACAGTTTGGTGCCAGATTTGGTCAAAAAGGTTATACATAGATAGGTCGTAGGACTAGACCTAGTTCTGTGTACACATTCCACGCGTTTACGGTGAAGAAGTAGCTTATTGAATGTGCAGAGTAGTAATGAAGCAGGGATAAGAAAAGAGCATGATACGGACCGCAATCTGAAAATGGACCCGTTCCTCCCTTGATTTTTCGCTTGATGCGACTCACTCTAGCTCTTTCAAGTCATTGCTTTTTCTTCATGTCGGTGACGTTCCGGCCACAGCACTCGAAGAGAAAACTTATAAGCTACATCGCCGAAGGCACTATCCTTTGATCGCAATGGAGTGTCGTCCGCACCACCAGGGGGTCCGCCTGTCTCTCCACTAGGTAAGTTTTTCCTTCTTCGATCTTCATCTCATCGCAGAATCCTCCTTTGAATGCGACTGCAACCATGGTTGTAAGTGAAATATATGGCGCATCCGCGGAAATGGTTGAACAGCCCTTTGATCTATGACCCTGAGTAATCACAGAATAATTGATGCTTTACGAAGTCTGATTGTTCACGATTGAGAAAAATACTTCTCAAACATGCCGAAACATGAACAGAACTGCGGGATGCTGACCAGGGCTCACGCATTGAAGGCACTATGCAACACCAATTAGCGATCAAGTGCGCCAAAAATACTTCGAGACTTGCCTATTATTCCCTCCCTTTCGTGCCAAGAACTGATTAAACTTCGCGGCTAGAAGCGTCCACATGGAGCACCATCGCTCATCAGCAATTGGGTTGAATTCGGCTAGTGTGAACTACAAATTCCATTCTGAAGAGGTTATAGGCTACGATCATGGTAGAACAAGAGTAATACCTTTCAAAATTCATTTCTACAACACTATCTTTGAAGTTATCAATGATGAAACGATTTACGTGCGCTTCGCTTTCCATTAAAAAAAAATACCTCGTACTATCCCTGGCCAGCACTTCTTATTTTGCTGAACCAATTATCACTAAAACCTATATTTGTACTAATTCCAGTACCGTATCCGTTCGGCATCTATCCAAGACCAACCACGGTTTCCTCACAGAGGAACCCTTATCGACACTGGACGTCATTTCCTATCGCTTTCAATAATTCTGCAACATCTGGTGTGTTTTTATGAAATTTCACAACTGCTTGTAGGAAGTGGAAGATATTGGTGCTTCCTTCTTGGTGCGCTACGTATCCTACTGTGTTCACTAGGAGTCTTGGGGATTGATGTAGGTAACATAGAGTGGAAATTGCAGAAAACAGCACAAATTGTTACCCTTCAAAGTGTGCCTCGATATCTTCTCGGTTTCTGACACGGGTGGAGTGGCGATCTGGGCCGTTAAAATGGAAGATCCTCCACCCCGGCCACTGCGCGCTCATTTCCGCTTCTGGGTGCTCGAATATTGGGAAAAACTGTGAGAGTTCATCCTGAACCTAATTTTTGTTCGGACGCTTTTCGCGGGAAGCACTCCACTTCTCCTCTACCTTCCTCGCACCGCAGCTTTCCGTCCCCCCCCCCCTAGCTCACTCCCTGCATCCGTAGGCTAATGAAGTGCAAACGCCGGCGCTACAATTTGTGCTGTCCATCGATTGAGTCCAACCGAAACCCTAGGCCTTGTAGAGAGAATTCCCAGAGCTTCAGCACATTTGAACATAAAGTCATTTAAATAAGTTACCAGCAAGCGAAGATACAAATACTAATTCTGGAAATGGTCCCTACATTGGCAAATTTACTGTTGACCCTTGTAAGGCATTTTGTAAGATATGTAAGCATTAATATGTCGCCGCGAGGGTGAATGAGAGTCCTTTGCGTGGCGTATCTTGGCCAGCCGGTCGAGTTCATACATATTTTATACTGATCTTCGATGTTAATAGCAAAAAATATTTTCAGGATGTGATGAGTCAGAACAAAATGAACGTCCTTCACTGGCACATTGTCGATAGCGAGTCTTTCCCTTATACCTCCGCCAAATTTCCCGATATGTCTTTGAAGGTATGTTCGATTTGAGCGCCATATATGAGCCTTTGCATTTACCGCTGCGACCGCTGCCAGAGGCGCCTGCGTCCTATCCCCTGTGGCGCATTCTTCTTCGTTTTCCCTCACCCGGCAGCGCTGTCTTTTTCAGTCGTGCTACGGTCGACATTGCAGGAAAATCTCGATGTTTTTCTGTGATAGCCTTTGCTTCTTTCTATACTAACGTTTGTTATTGCACTTCTTGTCCAAATTGAACACACACCATTCCGTGTGTGTGCAGCGGTGGCGGCGTCTTTAAGTTCCGGCTTAGACATTCGAAGAGAAAATGCATACACTGTTTCCAAATCACTGTTCTACTCTTTTCTATTCTAATTCTATTGTTTTGTAGTTTATTGTACTACACACTGAACCGGAAAAGCACATTTCATCCACCGTGCTCTTGATAAAGTGAGAGGTAATGTTATTTTCAGGGTGCCTACACTCCAGCTCACATTTATTCGATAGCCGATATGAAGAAAGTCATGAACTACGCAAGGCTTCGAGGGATTCGGGTTATTCCAGAGTTCGACTCACCTGGTATGCGTATAATAGTATTGTTCTCGACAGTGCTCAATACTGGACCTCTTAAGTAACCTCTATTCTCAAATTGTATGCGCTTTGACGATTGCTTTCCGATTAAGTCGAGAAATGGCGCGGCCTATACCCTCGTTACTGAGAGTTAATTTCATGCTTTAAGCACAAAAGAACTTCCTCCTTATAAAGCCTGGCAAAAGACAAACACAAGCCATTGAGCCAAGCATGAAAAAAAAACCAATGCCTTTACAATACTGAGAGTGTTGGATGCTTAGTGAACCCCCAGTACTTCATATTTCTTCAATCTTTCTTATTTCTGATCATTACCCGAATCGGAAGGCTCAGTCTTTACTAAGGTTACTGTATTCTGATGCATACGGCTCTTCGCCCACTGAAGCTGCAACCTTGCATATTTCTCAAGAATGCCTATTTGTGAACTCAACGACATAATACTGTAGACCCTGACGCTTCACACTTTCAACCCTGATTCACCCCTTCTATTGTCACACTCGATTGGTTGAGATAGTACCAATGCAAGGGCGCTGCTATCACACCTGGTAGCATAAAAATACAACTATGAAATTTATGTATTTATAATTCAAGGGCACTCTGGATCTTGGGGTGCTTCGATCTCGAATCTCCTGCCTCAGTGCTACAACTCTGAAGGGAAGATTGATCAACTTCCCAACATTATGGACCCAACGCTCCCGGCGAACTTCAAGTTTCTTTCCGAATTTTTCGAGGTGAGAATGTGTTTACTTCATACGCAGACAATTACCTCCCAAAAACTTCAATCATTCAAAGCACATTTCCAGACTGCAAGCTAAGTGGTGCAGGGTTCACACGTGAAAACAACAGCCGGCAACTTACCTTACTACTGAAAAGCAAAGGATTAATAAGTGGCTCTTCGAGCACGTTATTCTGCACAACTGATGAGTTTATGGAAAAGAGAGTGCACAACGAAACCTTTACCCCTAGCTCGGGAAGATATTTAAAAATGGGTGCTAACTTAGTTGGAGGGACCGCGGCGGCGCGGCGCTCTGTTGGTCTGCTTCTCCAAGGCTTAGTCCGCTGATGGCGCGTATTTCGAAACTGCCGCGTGCGGCGACGAAGTAGTAAGTGCCCCTTGGATTAAGCTTTAGAGGAGACGAAGGAGAGCAGTGCCGCACCGAGCGCGTGTGCCTCCTCCCCAACTGAGTAGCATCTAAATGTTTCCGGAAGCCTCGATCGTCGATGAGTACCTATTGCGCTCAACGGCACAGCAACGAAAGATTTCAATGAACAAATTTTCCGCGATGGGTAAGATAGAACTGCCCACGTAAGTTTACGTGAGATCGAAGGTGCTCATAGCTTCCTTCGCTCGCAAAGAAAAACACCATGCTCGCGAACCCCGCCCCAGCTGAATCGTTTGTCGCTCCCACCATCTCTGAATGTTCTGTTCTCTCCTCGGCGCACGTCTACACTTGCACTCGTGCTCTGGTGTTTCCCTAGACACCAAAGCAAACCTAGTCGACCACCTGGAAATGAGTTCCTTACTTGAGGACTATTTGTCTTGCTTTTTTGTCTATATCTACCTGCGTCACACCTGTGCTTCATCATTTTTTGACGCGATTACCGTGCCGTTTTTCATAAACGTGGAGTGCTGACAAAAATCCATTCGCAAATTGGGAGCAAACTCTGTGCTTGTGACCCACTTACTATTCCCCTAGAGCGCGTTGTTTCACTCTGCCAAACACTAAATATAGGAAATGTGCCTTTGATGAGATCGAAGTTACCAGGAGAAGTTACGTGGACTACATTTTAGGAGGCCTTAACACTATTTGGTGAGAAGTTTATGCATTTTGGAGGAGACGAAGTGGAGTGGGATATGGAAAAATGCTGGTTCTGTTCGATTTCAACTGTTATGATAATTGTTCCAAGTGCGTTAGCTAATTACTGGCTATTCAACAACTGGTAAAGTAGGACAGACTTTACGCCACATCACACATGGCACGGATACCAAGTGTAGTTTTATCTCACCAATACTTTTAAATTTTCCTGCTTGGGCTGTATGAAATAGGTCGATGTCAGACTTAGCGAATTGATCGACTGACTACTAGCGATTCGCTTGGGTTGGGTACTAGCCAATGGAGCGATTCGCTGGCCGCGATACGCTAACGCAAAACCGCACGATTCGCAGAGCGTGACATCGACCATGGCTCTTTTTAATCGGAAGGTCATGTGAATCCACTTTCTGCCCATTATTTGAGCTGTTTTCACACGAATAGTTTGGGGATCAATTCAGACGAAATGTCGCCTAAAGAGCGCTGCTTTGGTCAATTAGTTTAGGCCAGCCATGTCAAGAAGGACAAAAGGCCCATCTCAAACATCATTTTCCCTAGACTGGTGGTGAACTCCGTGCCATTCACCGGTTCAAATATGCACCATGCGACTTTGATTGGAAGTTAACTTCATGGTGCAATACTAAACGAGTATTGATTGGTCTGGGTGGGATAAAATATTTACATTGATCAACTGGTTTTAAACTTGATTTGAGGAGTTCTACTAAAAAAACAGAATTTCTGCGGCATTGCGCACGTCCAGCGATATTCGTTACACATCCACCTGTAAAGATCTCCTCTTGCTAATGAAATAGGGCGGAAGTGGTGTAGTGGCAAGTGGCACGCTTACCACGCGAGCGGTCCGGGGATCAAATCCTGGGTCGTGAGTCGCCCGGGCCAACCAAGCCTTCCATCCCTCCGGGGTCGGTTAATTGGTACCAGACTTGTCTGGAGGATAAAAAACACTGACTTGTACATCGGCTGGCCCCCGCAAGTCATTGTATAGGCCACATCGCATTCAAACGCCACTACGAATGTACAAATGGAAGTAGAATGCGTGCCGCATCCCAAAAAGGGATTGATCAACGGCAAATGCTTTATCCTTTTAATCCTTCGTATAGCATACATTATACGAAGTTATACATTTAACTACCAGTTGGCGCCGCACGCATTGCGCGCGCAACACAGATCTGTGGCGAATTTTGATGGTGCGACGAAAAATTTCAAATTTGGCTTGATACAATACGAATATCTGAATTCTCCGCTAAATTCTATGCGCTCTTTCTTCGTCAACCATTATCCTATTTTTCTCGCGTGCCCTGCCGACCAATAGCATTTGGCTCCCTTCTTTTCGCCGACCTCTACCCCCTTTTTCACCGGTCTCTGGGACCTCTTGGAACCAAATTACGACACTTTTGGCAAACTCCGCCCACTTAGGTGCGTGCTCTACCCACTAATAGCATTTGACCTCCTTTCCTTCGCCGACCTCTACTCCCTTTTTCCCAGCCTCCTGGACTTCTTGGGGCCGAGTTATGAATTTTCGTCGCAAACTCCGCCCACTTTGGTCATGTCCCTCCCACCATTGACAGCTGGCCTCCACTCCTCCACCCACCTCCATCCACCTTTTCCGCGGCCTCAGGGACTTCTTGGAGCCAAGTCATGAATTTTCGTCGCAAACTCCGCCCACTTTGGCCAAGCCCCGCCTACCACTGGCCTTTGACCTCCACTTTCCCACCCAACTATATCTTCTTTTTTCCCCACTCTCCGGGACCTTCTGGAACAGAGTTTCTGAATTTTCGTCGCAAACTCCACCCACTTTGGTCAAGCTCCGCCCACCGATGACAGCTGGCCTCCACTCCTCCACCCACCTCCATCCACCTTTTCCCCAGCCTCCGGGACTTCTTGGAGCCGAGTTATAATTTTCGTCGCAAACTCCGCCCACTTTGGTCAGGCCCCGCCCACCAATGACAATTAACCTCCACTCCTCCACCCACCTCTATCCACCTTTTCCCCAGCCTCCGGAGCTTCATGGAGCCGAGTTATAAATTTTCGTCGCAAACTCCGCCCACTTTGGTCAGGCCCCGCCCACCAATGACAGTTAACCTCCACTCCTCCACCCACCTCTATCCACCTTTTCCCCAGCCTCCGGAGCTTCTTGGAGCCGAGTTATGAATTTTCGTCGCAAACTCCGCCCACTTTGGTCAAGCCCCGCCCACCATTGACAGCTGGCCTCCACTCCTCCATACACCTCTATCCACCTTTTTCCGGCTCTTTAAGACTTCCCCGACCCGAATTATGAGGGCTTGTAGAAAATGCTGTACACTTCAGAGCGCGCCCCGCCCATTCTGGGCAGGCCTCCGCCCACGTCATGTATGCAGGAAACACCTTAGACATTGCTCCCTTACACCAAATTGTTTTCTGCTCTGTAGGCTTTCTCCCAACCGAGTTATGAAATTTTTCATAAAGCACTGCTTTTTTAGAACGCCCCCGCCCACCGGGGGTGGGTCTCCCTAATTCGATGTGACTTACCAATGCACACCTTTACCCACTTTTTGGCCCAGTTTCGAGGTCGTTTTGTCACTGAAATCGAAATCTTGGTCTTTGGTACAATTCATTTCGACGCACGCCACGCCCTCTGTGGGCGGGGCTCCGCTTAGCTGATGTGTGTTTTGTATTACGTGAGACCCTGCCCACCCATCCCACACTTGACCCGGTCCCTCCAGGCGGATCCCGAGGAGCTAGGGAATTTCGTGACAGACATACAGAACGACAGAGGGACAGAACGACAGACAGAGGGACGGACAGAACGACAGACGAAGCGCTTTATAGTAAGTAGGATTGGAAACTATCCGTCATTTTCATTTCACACATGTTTATCAATAAAACAAAAAAAAACAACAGCTAATGATTAATCAACACTCGTTCTTGAAAAGTCCTTCCGCAACTATGGCTTCACCCCAGGCTTTTTGATTGTGAGAGCAGTTGCAGCAGCAGTGGCTCCAAGCCAGGGTGAATATCGCTTGAGGATTCCTCAACGGCACGTCGAGGATTCTCTGCCCGATCAGACACGATCTCTCGCGCGGACATTCACACTCGCCATGCGCGTGCCGTCTGTGCTCTCCGCGCGGATGTTCACTCTCGGCACTACTCTCGCACTGCTCAAGCTCAACTAGTGCTCATGTATCATGAGCAATTTTTTTTGCTCACGTGTAAGCTCCATAATGAAGCAAATTCACAATTTCTTTCACCAGATTTCGCGCTTTCAGACTGATCGTAATCTTCTAAAACAATCAGCAAAACTCAAAGAGCATGGCACTAAAAACGGTGGATAATTCCCGCTCAACCTACACTGGTGTGCAAAACTTAGGACGACATGGATAAATTGACCTAACTTATTAACAATTAGATGGAATTGGATGAAACTGTACGGGCATAATGCTAGAAGCCCTACAGTCATGGGCACAAAGTGGGCCTCATATGTCTTGCATCCGGCTTCAATCTGGAGCCTAAATGGGGTGGCCACCCAGAACGAGGGGTTTGGTGGGGCAGGACAAGAGGGAGTGTACTGAGCAGGGAGAAGTTAGATGTCGGTCAGACTCTGCGATTGCATCGCGCGATGCAGTCGCTCTGCCAAAAGTGCAAGGCCCGCCGCGATCGATACCGATGTCGACTGCATCGATGTGGGCGGGGCCAATCGCCCGTCGCTTGTGCACATTGCAAGAGCGACTGCATCGCGCGATGCAATCGCAGAGTCTGACCGACATCTTACTGTTGAAATGTTGTGGTGGTGTTGATTACAGCAAGTCTCAAAGACAACATAGGATGACTTCCCGCAGAGGAAGAGTCACCGAAACTGGAAGAAGGAAGATTTGTAACGAGTGTGGTCCAGGAGTTTGATGTTGCTCACACCATTGTTTTGTGCGCATAAGGAGCAATATGGACTGCAGCCACTGCTGCCCCTAGAAGAGTAGGTGGTGGATCACGATCAACCGCAACAGCAGGTGATTGCTAGTTTTGCAACAGGCAAAAATGGACCCACGTCAGTCACATGCTGCAGTTGCAAAAACATTTATCAGGATTGTAAGCACGTAATCCCAGCCTGAACAGTAGCACAGTGACAGGATTTTTAGCGGCGATGCTCCCTCGCTCGACCAACAGCGCCCATGGGTCTTGCAAACTCACGCATTGACGGATAATGTTGCTGGCGGGACGGAGGACCTCTAGAAAGACCATCATTTGAGATCGAGTGCTTTTTAGTTTAAGCACGCAAATTAAATGATGAGTATTGATTCTGCGATCTTAAACCGCCATGATATACGAGAAAGGAATTATGTATGCGCACAGAACCTAGTTTAGCAGGGCATTTGTTTTTGATAGGAAACGATATGGTATGGGGAGATAATTGCGAATAGCATTCTACCTCCAAACTCGTCTATCGCAGATACATCTTCCTGATCCTCAGGTTATTGTCGGGCCACTTTTTACCGTCCACTATGCGCATCTTTTCAGGGGTGCATTTTATCCTGACCCCATCAGTATGAAGGACGATGTGCGAGCACATCGAGCAGCCTAGATGTGGAATTCTTAGAACGCAAGATCTTCGTCGATCTGTAGGGCCTATTCCGCTTTCCCCATTTAAAATCCTATGGGAGCACGACGAGGACTGCACTAGCCTTGGAATCACATCAAGTGAGAACGATCATAGCGCAGGGAGCTCCATGCGCCAGTGACCGTCCACCAATCGTCATTCGCGGTCGTCGAGGGATGGATCGCTTCTCCATAAGAACTCCCAAGCAGCCTTGTAGCCAGCATGGGAGCACATAGCAGAGCATGCTTCGCAGTCCTTAATGTTGTTATACACCCATCAGAAACCACCTCTTCTCTTCTGAAAGTTTACCATGAGTTGGATAGCCTCACCCGTCAACCGCTTCAGTCACAGTCTTCGAAGGGAAGTCTCTATTCCAATCGCCCCAATGCATTTTCTTCTCAGTAACCCTCTGCATTAAATTGAAACACTCGCTTCTATGTAAGTGCCAAACTTCATCGGCCTAGCTTAGCTAGCAGTGAGATGTCATGCGAAAGTTACTTCTATCCTTAAGTTTTGCACACCAATGTGACAACGAAATCTACTTATAAATGGCTCTAGTAATCGTGACAATTTACTGAGCTTTTAGAGTCACATCGACAAAAAAATCTGCCATGAAGTCAACATTTTTCGAGAGGGTTATAGGGTGTTCTACATGGAATCGCTCTTTCAGGAGATAAATCCGATGTGAAGAAACGGATGAAAGCCATGGGTTTGAATACTACCCACGAGCTACTCGATTATTACTGGAGGACGTGAGTAACTGAAGAACATTTATTAATCCCTATCCTCCATTGCCGCACAGAAACTCAGAAACGCTTCATTTCTCCTTCGGTAGGTAACCCAAACAGTATGAAATCTTACCTGTACAGGGATTTCGATAAGGCTGTTCGTTGAATTATGACGATCCGTCTAGGTTCTTGTTAGGCACGGAGATGGATGGAGGTACTGTTGTGTCTGCTGGGACGGAAGTCTCCTCCATTTTCATGATTCCTTGCATTGTCCACCATAAGCACTTAGAAGGGGGGGGGTCTCATCCAGTAAGGGGGGGCATCGTGATGGAAATCCCCAAGAAGTTTATGGTAATTCTAATCCTGCTAGGTGACTTGTCGAACCATACGATAGTTATTAATTTCTTGGTATCGGTCATTCGTCGAGTCCTACTTTTTGCTCTGAAAAGATGGATCACGGCGGCTGCTCTGCTCCACGCCAATTTGCACAAAGAGCTTAAGTCTGAGTGCTATCGACTTTAATTTCGTCATTCTTTTGTATTTTCTGTATGTAACACTGGTTTTTGTGGTGAGTGAGGCGAAGAAGCACTGCGCACGATGCGGCTTGGGAGGGAAGGGGAGGCAGTCGCCGCCGCGGCGCATGGCATGTTTGCGCTCCCGCAGCGATTTATGTAGAGCACTTCAGCTTCACGAATTAAGCGCATTGCCCTCACCCACCCGTGATGGTTACACTCCTCCTGGCTCACGGAATTCTCTGAAGGAGCGCGCGCACGGCGCACTGCTCCGCCCGTGCAACAATTGCTCGCCGTTTGGTCGTTAGAAAAGAAAGAGAGTAGATAAGAAAAAATAGTAACTTGCTGTTTTGTTGACAGAGAACAGAACGAACATAGAAATCCGTATCTTTCTCGGAAATTTGCCTCACGATGCACCTCTTGCTGGAGCATACCGTCAGACGATGACTTGTCACTTGCACGCTTACAGGCGCCTCGATCACAGATTCGATTCGTGGACGAGTTCGCCTAAGCCACAGCTACTTCCATTATCTTCGGTTTATTGATGTAGCAGCCTTGGACAAAAACGACTGACTTCTGCATGTGATGACCCGAACTCATGCTTATAGCAAGCCACAGCATACAAAGCCCTGCCCGATAAGAAATTATTGTTGTGGCCTATCCCAAAATGCGTCCACAATAATTCCCCTACTTAACAGTTACCCTTTTAGTGGGGTGAAGGCCAAAATGCGTCAAGATAATCATTGTGAATAGCCCAATGGACGTCTACAGAAAAACGAGAAAACCAGGCGAATTCGCTTCCAGACTTCATCGGCATACTTTATGGAAGAGGTTTCAGACTGTTTGGACTTATCGACAAGGCACGCCCTGGAACAAAAAAGATCGTCTGGCAGGAAGTGCTCGATTTGAACGTCAATGTGAGAGCGTTTATTGTCCAACTTCTACGATTTTTACTACGACTATGCTGCGTCAATTTCGAGACCTAATTATGTTTCGAAGAACTAGAAAGAGAAACGATGTTCATCTCGTGTGCCAGAATGGATCGCGATTATCCCGATGAGCAAAAGTTTAAAGGACGAATTCACGATTAGAATGAAGGTCGAAGAGGAGTAATTCACCTAGTTGAGGGACCCGCGGACCTCCTAAGGGTGCGGACTGAAGCGCAATTGGCACCGAAGGAGTTGACCTCGGCGACCTATTAAGGCTCAATCTTGGCGCGGTGGGCCAGTGCACGCCCACCGATCATCTGATCACTCGCCGCAGGTCTATACGTGGCGAGTGATTAGATAGGTGAGAGAGCGTAGTGTGAAGAGGGCACAGCGATGATAGTCGCATCAATGCTCAAATCAACGGGCAAGGAAGGGGTCCCATTTCTCGGGTTCTGGGCCGTTTCTCATGGTTTTTCCTTCTTTAGTGTACCACTCACCATCGCTAAGTTAATTTGAAATGGGTTGCCTTTCCAGCGTGAATTCGTCCTTTAAGTGCAATATATTCAGACCTTCTGATGCGGCGAAAGCCCCCCCCGAAAAAAAAATTACTCAGACCGGAGTGCATTTTAGCTTGAAGCTGTTGCCTGATAGAGGTGCGATTTCTCCCCACCTACGTTCAGGCTAGTGTCAGAGTCCCCAATCTGTCGCGCGATTAGGCGAGTCGCAAAAATCGCAACTGCCCCCAGTTTAACCATTTGGAAAACTGAATATGACGGAAGACGGAACTCTCGCAACATCCCGGTTCAAGATGGAAGAAATAACGGAGAGGTTTTACAGCAACCTATACCGATCCACGACACATGTACTAGACCCAGGAAATTCCTACTGGAGAGAAGAAACCACACGCGAATTCTTCCTTCAGAAAGAAGTTACGAGCTTGCAAGTACTGCGAGCGTGAAAGGGGCACGACTCCTGGTCCCGACAGATCTAACCGGTGGCTTGCTTGTTGGAGGTGCACTCATCAACATTCATGCACTTCGCGCCCCCTAACTACTCCATTACCTTTCAGAACGAGGGAGGTGGGATTTTTATACCAGTGGAGCAATGTCACGGCAAAACAACATCCTCCATAAGAAAGGAGACCGTGATGATCTTCGCAATTACCGCCCAATTAGCTTGCTGAGCGTTCTGTACAAGCTATTCACCAAGATCATCCTTACACGGATCTCTCGATCACTGGATGAAGCGCAACCTACCGAGCAAGCCGGATTTCGTCAGGGATTCAGCTGCTTAGACCACATCCAGTCAGTCGCCATGGTCATAGAAGTGTGCCGAGAATTCCAAATGCCTCTTGTTCTTACCTTCGTTGACTACGAGAAGGCTTTTGACAGTGTAGAAACAAACGCGATCCTAGGACACAGAGGAGCAGCCGTGCGGCGGCCCTTTGGTCCTCTAAAAGAAGTTACCAACTATCTGGCCCGACCTCGAAAAAACTTTGGTCAAACGATTTCCTAGGATAACTAACTGAGGAACATCCTAAAAATAAAAATCGAAATGTTATGATAAATGATCGCTTGCGGGTAAGCAGAAAAGGTAGATACTAGAACTCTCAAAAAACCTTCTATGGCATTCGGATGATCTTCATAGTTCAGGTTTCGGATGCCATCGCTCATGTCTGGAAGGGAAACACTGTGGAAGTGGTCAGAGAAGAAATGGCAAACGTAACTGCGGCCGGGCACTACGCTATTCTGTCAAGTTGCTGGGGTAAGAAAAAAGGTATTTTCTCTGGTTTCGAGATCCCGACCTCGCCATTCATTGATTAGGAGTACTGTGACAAAATTTAAAGGCAATGCTCACAATGGCTGGAGGTTACTGTATTGATGACGTCATTGACTGTCGATACAGTAACCAAGCTAAGTTACAAATAAGCTCCTAAGTAAGAGCTTATTTGTAACGCTGTATGTTTGTGTAAGAATAGAAAGCAGTACTTCCAGGAGTTTCTTTACGACACTCCATTAGGCAGTGCTGTTTTCTCCCAACGGTGGCAGAGCAATTCGATCTACTTCCTATGCCATGTGCCCTGTGTAGAAGATGACTTCCTGAGCGAATAAATATCCAAGTTTGCCAAATCAATGCATAAGGTTCATTCGATGAAATTTTGCAAAATACCCTCTATTCCGGAAAACAAGAAGAGCGTCGAGTGCAGACCACACACCACAAGTTACGACGGTCAAGAAAAAAGAAAAGAAACAACCACTTTTTCTTTGGCCGTAGTCATTTGTGTGTGGTCTGCACTCTTCTCGTTTTCCGAAATAGAAGGTACATATTTGCAACTGGGTGGCCTCCCTATTAATCGACTTTCAAGAGACGGAGGCTGTGGCTGTCTGAGCGTGATTCGGCCTAAGGTCCAATCAAGAAATTATTTATGTGGTAGCGATTCCATCTACCATTGCACCACTCCCACTATGTAGTTTCTGACATCAGCTTTGAAAGAGGGAATTACAGGTACCTCGACCTGATCAAATACGGAGTCGACTGGAAAACCTACTACGATTGTGATCCTACTGACTTCCCTGGTACCGACAAGCAGAAGGTACAGGTTTTTAGGGTTTTTTGAAAACTAATTGTTGGATGCTTCAATAGATGTCCACTCCCTATTACATAGGTGAAGTGTCTCTGTTCCAAAAAGGGTGTTTGCTCGATTGCTTTGGTACAAAAGGTTCGAAAAGGTAACTTGCAAGGGTGACTCACTCTTTAACTAAAATTATTGAATTAAATTTTTGAAATTGCTGTATATTTCCTTAACCAAGGCGGAAGCAGTGTAGGGGCAAGTTTCCTAGCCGTGGGCCTGTGAAAGGTAAAGAAGCCTTCCATCCCTTCATGGTAGGTAGGTTGGTACCATGCGTTGCATGTGGTATCAAAGCACAGGTTTGTACTACGTCTGCCCCTGCAACATATTGTGCAGGTCAAATTATACTAGAATTGCTACTACGATTTCGAGTGGAAGTTGCATGCGTGGCGCATCCCTAAAAAGACTGATAAATGGGTTTTAGGAGCACTGTAAATGTGGTTTAGGAACAGGTAAAAAATATCAACTTCATATGAGTATTTGCAGGCACGCGTTTTGGGAGGCGAAGCTGCTCTATGGGGAGAATACGTGGACGGGACAAATTTCATGACTCGCATGTGGTAAGAGATGTTTTAATGGCAAGTAATATTTGCACTAACAAGGGTCTCTTTTAAGGCCCCGTGCGTCTGCCGTGGCTGAACGACTGTGGTCAGATCCGGCACAGACGAAATCACACGATGATGCATGGCCACGTCTTCATGAGTTCCGATGCAGAATGATGAACCGAGGATTTGCTGCCGCACCGCCAAACGCCCCTGATTATTGCCCGTTTGAGTGGGATCCTATTTATAAGGAACTATAAATGTTGTTCGAATCTGTGTTGTTACAGAATAGTCTTGAGAAATAATAAATAAATAAATAAACAAGTTAAGCTGCTCAAAAAATAACACCTCAGTGGTCGTTGAAACGGAAATATTGTACAGGAAACTCCTGAAGAAAAAGAATAAAAGCAAAATTTGCTGGTAGTGCCACAGATCGGATGATTTTGAAAGGATAAAATAATTTCCAAAAAAAAATTAAAAATAATTATAAAACAATAATAATTGAAAACTAGAATAGTAAATAAGATTCCTATGGCAGTACAGCGAACCAAATAAACAACTACCGCTTTCCAAAATTCTTATTCCTGATCGATAAAACCATCGCTCACGCGGGGGCATAGTGTTTAATAAGGGTCATGGACGGCAAAGGAGCACGACCGTATCTCCGGTATCGAAATGCCCCAATTATTCTTCAACTGGGTGAACTCTGCTCTCAAATTTCACATTGGAAGATCGTCGCCTTCTTGAATTCCGCTCTTCGTTTTATCTCAAAAAATGGTTTGGGAACACTTTTGCAGAAGAATTACATCATAATTACTTTTACATTTGTATTTAAAAATTTTCAAAGGTTTTGCTAGCATCTGATAACATAAATGTTTACTGTTCAACTCATGATGAACATAAATGTTTACTTTTCAACTCCTG